CATATATTTAACTACTAAATTTAAATTATCATTTAGCTCAGTTTCAGACCATTCGAAATTTTAATAGTAACATAATAATAATCTATCTTAACTGGAGCCTAGCCTGTCTGTTTCCAAATCATAAACGTGTATCATTTCGTCCTATTGTCTATCTAACTTTGCACGAAGAAATAACAAACTTTCATCCTACCTATCTCTTGGGCAATATTTGTACTTAAATAAGGTTGCCTATTACTATTAGCCTTCTTTTATCAAGATAAAATAAGACATATTAACTTATCCTCAGAATCATCCCTCATCTGACTAGCCCCTGGTAGTTCAGCTGTAAGTCTGAGAACTCATGTCCAATTACTATCAGGTATATACGTGCAAATGCCTTTAATAAGTTTATTTTCATTCTTGCAAGCTTGAATGAAATATAATATTTTTTGTTAGGCCACATAAACTCTTGAACTTTTAAAATCGTGATTTTATTTAAGTGTAGGTTTTAACAGGTCTTATAAGTTATTTTTAAAATAATGATGTATTTTACCGCCAATATAGTTGTGGGTTTTTTCTTTTTGACAATGGCAAAATAGTTTATTAAACGTTTCGATCAAAAAAAGAGGCACCTTAATAATCAAACACATGCGACTTATTCAAAACCTGCTAGTAAATCTACATCGAACTATACCGAACAACAGTGAGAACCAATTCCATCAGTCCGATCAACCAAGTACTGTATTATTATTATTGTTACACCTCCGTTCCTTAATTAATTTTCCGTAAATTCGTTTCGACGAAACTTTAGCGACACAAGTCCTTTCTTAAATAAAACTGGTTTATTCTTTCTGAATATAACGTTGCGATACACTTAATTTCAACAGTCGCGCTATAACAAACGCTATAATTCTCAACGAACGTCTCACGTTCTCAACAATATTCTCCCTCCACAGTTCAATTACCCCTACCGTCACGTTGTGACCGTCTTATATATACTAGATTAACACATATCTAGTAAACGCTAGAGCATTCATGAAGGAACAGGATATTTCTAGAAGTCAATGACGTGTTACTAGCGTCACGTGACCCCGATGTCGTAACATTATTGTTGTAACCACTTGATACTTAAAAGTCATTATAACTGCACCATGACTGTGAGACTCTCAAAAATTTAGCGTGAAACGGATTGTTATGTATTGTTATTTATTTCATGATATAATTTTTTTCTGTTGTTTCTTAATTGCGAAGTTGTGTAACAATTCTTGCTGTTTTTTAACACGAAATATAAGTTGTTTAACGTTGGAATCCTTACTAAGATTTTCACTAAGTCAAAACTTTTATTTGTAGTTTCGTGAAGTAATTTACAATATTTCGAATTGTTTATTTGATTTATGTAGTGCACACTGGTATATAAATCACATCTCAAGAGTAGTAATAAACAATGTTGAATCCAGACCTTTTCATCGGGGGGGGGGGGGGGTAAAGTTGGGGGGATGAATTCAAATTCGGCAATATGAAAAACACTGTACTTTAATTAAAATATTTGACTCCTCAACTTTACAGTGATACATTTTTTGTATTATTGGTCAAGAACATTTAAATATAATTTTTACAACAAATTTGCAAAAAACAAAAAAATACTGAAAATACATTCAGACATTCACTGTACTCTTAGAGAAAACGAACGCATCTAGTTTTTATGTGTGTATAAGTCGATAACTTTTGATAACAAGGTATATGAATGTACATTAAGCCCTTCGGTGTTAATATTCATGCAGCTTGGAAGGGTGTCTTTTCTATCCGGTTTCTCAGCTTATTTAAAATAGGGTTCTTGCCACTGAAAGAATGCTCAACTCCAGCATTCGAAACCGGCACCACCATCAGGCATTCAGTTAAATTTTAAAGACAGTCGTAATCGATGTTAGCTTTCCACAAGTAATACACATCATTTGTAACTTGATTTTCTTGCTTCCTTGCAATGTACTTGAAGGAGCTCAAATCAGCTCACACGTCATCAGCATCCAGTCCATCAAAGAAGCTACATTGTCTCTTCACATCATCATATGTTAAACTTTAAAGGAAATATATACATTGATGAGGGAGAATGCTTGATCATTCAACTGGTGCTCCATTTGTTCAATCACAGTGTCAACAAATCGTTTAAAGTTTTTGAAGGTTTGTTTATCCTAAATAGTTATAAACTCGAAACAGTCTACATCTATTTATACTTAACTTTTATTTTTTATTGCCATATGAACGTGCATAAGTACTATTGGAACCATTATAAGTCATAAATCACTGGCGAATGTTACGCTCTCGAAATACACTACGCACGAGCTAGTTGCAGGCGTACCTCGTGAAAATTTTCTATTATTATAATAATTTATTACACCGAATCTGACCATAAATAACTTAAAAAGTTGAAGCTCCGAGAACAAGGTGTAAGGAATTCGAAGGTCGAGGTGCTGGACTATGTGGTCATAATGAGTATAGTTCAATTCAGAAGCGCTTCCGGGTACGCAATCGTCGTCATGATGATTGAAATGCAGAGGATACCATACTATCACCCAAAGATAAGTTCAGAACTGACTTATTTTTCGTTGTGGTCGACTAACTTGTCACTGTATTGAAATACCGTCTTTATGCATATAAGGATGTTGCCATCAATTTTGGTTTCCTTTCTAAATTATCATCTCTTTCATGTCAATAAATAGGCCAAGCCGCAAAATGTCTTGTCCATTCTTTTCCGAACGATGCTGGAACCGAGATAGAAAACGAATTGATCCAAGTTGGCAAGTCCAGAGTTTCGACGATCATTCACACAAGCTGAACCAATAGAATCAATGGAGTTAAGAATGTTCTTTCTCCATAAACATGCCATTATCCAAACATTTCCTAATGTTGAGATAGTGCTGAAGATATACTTGCCCATGATGGTATCAAACTGCCGCGGGAGTAATAATTTTCGAAATTGAAACGAATAAAATGTGAGCTCAAGAAGAAAATAGGACAAAGCCGACTAAACAGTCTATCTACAATGAACATAGAATGTGATATACTTCGAAAGCTAGACTTTTCGAAATTCATTGACGAGTTCAGTTATAACATAGCCAAAGAGACAATTTTAGCTTTATACAAGTACATGCAGGTCCTAATCAAATTATCTTCATGATCATTAGTGAGCAAATAAAATGTTTTGCACAAGTTTATGGTTTGTCTATATTGTTTCCAGTGTTGCAAGGCTATGTGTATCATCAAAATGTTCTCACGTGTATATGCTTAACATTATGATTTTGACAGTGAAGTTGACTCAGTTGCTAGAGATGGTGAGAAGGGGGGGGGGGCTTTTCCTCTCCTATCGTTTGGGGCTCAAGCCACCCTTGGAGACACACAAATTCTACACGAAAATGAGATATCTAAAGCAAACACGAATTTAAATATGCCAATTAGCCTCATCTTATAGTGCATAAGATGGCAGATCGAGGAAAACCGTTTCCTGGCGGCAACTTCATCAAAGAGTGTATGATGGAAGCAGCAAATGACTTGTGTCCTGAGAAAGCCAATTTGTTTGGAAGTATCAGCCTTTCAGCAAGTCAGTTGTGCGGAGAACAGAAGAACTTGGAGAGAACATAGTGTTACAGATGCGCAAGAAAGTTAGGAACTTCTGGTATTCTTTGGCACTGAATGGGTCTACTGATCTTTCGAATACGTCATAACTTCTTGTGTTCATTCGTGGTGTTAATTTGGACTTGCAGATCACAGAAGAGTTGGCACCCGTTTGCAGCATGCACGGAACAACAACTGGAGAAGACATTTTCATGGAAGTGCAGAAAACTTTGCAAAGCTATAACCTTCAGTGGAATCGTCTTCGACGTGTTATAATTGATGGAGGAAAAAACATGGCTGGAGTGAGGAAGGGTCTGGTGGGACAAATACGAACTAAGTTGGAAGATTTTCAACTCCCGGGCGCTCTGTTTATACACTGCATTATACATCAGCAAGCACTCTGTGGGAAAGACTTAGATATTTCTTGCGTACTGAAACCAGCCGTTTCTGCGGTGAACTTCATTTGGGGTCATACACTTAATCACCGCCAGTTCCAGGCTTTTCTTGAAGAAATTGATTCTGAATTCTGTGTCTTGCCTTATCACACAGCAGTGAGGTGGCTCAGCTGCGGTAAAGTCCCGTTTCGTTTTTATAAGCTCCGAAGAGAAATAGATATTTTTCTCACCA